GTGTGTGTGTGTGTGTGTGTGTGTGTGTGTGTGTGTGTGTGTGTGTGATAGAGAGACAGAGATAATGGGAAGAGAGAGACAGACAGACAGAAGGACAGATAGAGGGAGGGGAAGTATTGGGTTATTTAGCCTCTGAGGTTTTTTTCCAATTCTAAATCCATGACGTTATGACTTAAAACCAAATCCCACCTTTTTTGCTTACTACCTGTGTTACCTTGGGCAAGTCACTTAATGTCTCTGGGTCTCAGTTTCCCTTGCTGTAAATGGGGAAAGGTAGATTAAATGACCTTCAAGGTCCCTTCCAGCTCTAAATCTGTGTTCTTTGCTCCTATGCTTTCTTCTTTGCCTTTTAGCTTTCCCCCTCCCCAGAGTGGGTGACCGACCTTTTCTTGTACTTCTGCTTGTAGTGAAGGACCCCTGCTCAGGCGGACACAGAGGATGCTCCCATATCTGTCAAAATGAGTATGGCATTGCCAGGTGTGCATGCCACCCAGGGTACCATCTGTCTGCAGACAAAATGTCATGCACAGGTAAGGAACTGGGTCTAATGGCTTAATTGTGCAGTTATCTGAGATTTCACTGGAATTCTGCTTGAGGAAGAACAGGTGGGAGGAAGTTTGTGTGGGTGTAGGCTCATAGACAAACGATTTTAGAAGTGAGGCTACATTTGTCTTTGATTATTTGCAAAGGTTTTTATGCCATATTTTGAAATTCTGAAAAACAACTACCCAAACTACTTAATGATTTTTGTGTGATTCAATTGGTAGTTTCAAAATTGATATTTCAAAAGGCTCAATAACTAGACAGGGACTTATTTTTATTTTTTTTCCTTCATAAGCTACAAAAAGAAAAGATGACCCTTGAATTGGAAATGTATGCTGTGGAAGGCTCCTAGAATTTGGAAATCATTGTAACAAAGGAGATTTTTTAAAGCTTTCCTTGGAATAATAAGCTAAATGTTTCCATCTTTCTAAAAAAGCAATACAGAAACACTTTCAATTCCAAGATTAATGTAATAAATCCATTATTCTATGACCAGAGGTGCTGAAGGCAGTTATTTGTGTGCAGCAAATTTTTTCTTTGGTAACTTATGAGATTTTTTTTTTTTGCCATTGTAATATTTTCAAGTAAAAAGGAAAAACTCTATGACTTAGGATGATATCAACTATGTCCTGGCTTTCAAGGCAGATGTTTATTTTAAGCAAATAGAAGGACATTAGACATGCAAATTCATGTTTAATTTGGCCCGTTTTTTATTGAGGAATTTTGACTAAGCTGAAAAACTAAGAAAAATCGGGGCTCTCAAATTGAGTAGTCATGACTCCAGACACAGATTCCACTAATCCATTGCGTGTTTCCTCTAGGGCTGCTTAAAATATCTTTTACTGGGGATGAGGTGGGGGTGGTGTGAGAAGCACACCTGTGATTTCATCCTTATGGGAACTCCTGGTGTGAAAATTCCCTTCCTTCATGTAAATCGGCAACTCAATTGTAATTTATACTTTTAGAGAAGCTACAATAATGTATAGTCTTAGAGAGGCAACTGGGACATGCAGAGGTTAAGCAATTGCTCCACATCCACTCAGCTAGTATTTTTCAACAGTAAGATTTGAAGGTTATGTCCAGTACATCTTGCTCTCATTTAAGTGTTAGAAATAGATCATGGAAAAGCTATACCCCAGCTTTCTGCACCTGGAGGGTATCTCAAATTCAATGGATTCTCTTCCATAAAACAAGCATAGAGTTCCTACTATATATGAAGCTAGGAGTAGCATGAAGTGATGATGATGATTGATGATGATGATGATGATAATGGTGAACATTTATGTAGCACTTTAGTGTTTGAAAAATACTTTACAAATATCTCCTATGATCCCCATAACAACCCTGGGAGTTTGATGCTATTATCCCCATTTTATAGATGAGAAAACTAAGGCAGACTAAATTTAAGTGACTTGCCAGGATCACACAGCTAATAATTGTCTAAGGTTGGATGTGAACTCGAGACTTCTTCACTCAAGGTCTACCCATTCAAGTGCTCTGTCCATCATGCCACCTAATTGCCTCTAATGGATAGAGAAACTGATTTTGGAGGAAGGAAAACGTAGCTTCAAACAGTCTCTGATACCCAATAGCTGTGTGACCATGGAGAAGATACTTAACTTCTTAATGCCTCAGGTAATGCTATATGATTACAAATTGGAGCAGATCAGAAAAGGAAGAGCATGATGGTGTATGACTCTTAATCCCAGCTACTGTAGTAGATAGAACCCCAGATGTGGAGTCAGTAAGATCTGAGTTCAAATCTGACCTTAGATACTTATTAGCTGTATGACCCTGGTCAAATCACTTAACCTCTGTTTGCCTCAGTTTCCTCAACTATCAAATAGGGATAATAATAGCACCTACATCGCGGGGTTGTAGTGAGAATCAAATGAGATAATAATTGTAAAGAACTTAGCACAGTGCCTGACGCAGAGTAGGTAGGTGTCATATAAATACAAGCTATTCATCATCCTTATCCTCCTCATCTTCATCATCAGTATTATTATTAGCCTTAGTTCAAGAGTTCTGAACTACAATCTGGCTAAAGCTGATTTGGTATCCACGCTAAGTACAGCACCAATGTGGGAAATCTTTTTTTTTTTTTGGCAATTGGGGTTAAGTGACTTTCCCAGGGTCACACAGCTAGTAAGTGTCAAGTGTTTGGTCTGAGGCCAGATTTGAACTCAGATCTTCCTGACTTCAGGGTCGGTCCTCTATCCACTGCACCACCTAGCTGCCCCATAAATATGGCAAATCTTAAGAAGTGAAGGGCCACCAGGGTGTCTAAGGAGGGGTGTGATATAAGAAAAGACTATGTTAGCAATTCTTTCTGAAAATGGGAATTTGGAAAACTGTGTAGGCATAGTCAATTTTTTGTAGCTGTCTTGTAGGTACTGATTGAAAGGAAACTGGCCATATTACCTCTTTGGCTACACAAAGTTTATAGTTTGTGTGGCATTTTTTCATAGCAAACATGAGCAAGAATAAAAAGCATTTCTTCAGTATGAGTTATCTGCTACTGAGCCCATACATCCCAAAGACTCGCGGTACTGGGAAAAGAAAACATTTGAATTTACTGTTAACGTTGTGATTTACCCCTCTGTTGGTGATTACAAGGCATAAAGCCAAAGGATGTTTATGTTTGCAGACATTGATGAGTGCACAGAAGGCAGTGCTCACTGTGCCCACCACTGTGTGAACTCCGTGGGATCCTTCACCTGTACCTGTAACCCTGGCTTTGAACTTGGGGCAGATGGAAGACAGTGCTACCGTAAGTGAGGACCCCAGAACGGCTCCTGACCTAGTACTCCAAAGGGTGCTGTTATCATGAGATGTTTTCCCAAAGCACAAATTTGTGCTTAAAGCCTAGGCATTAGGCAACTTGTCCAAAAAACACCTGCTTAGAATCCTATAGTAGAAAAGGACCTTAAGCACGATCTAGATCCCCTCTCTCATTTTATTATAAACTGAAATCTGCACTGCTAAAATAAATCTGTGACCTCATCACCATTGGTACTCTCTTTAAGGAAGCAGATTGCAACCCCCCTTGCTAGAATTAATCGCCAAGGTTATACCAATATAGGCAGCCAGAAGACCTTGGTCCAAACTGGGAAAAACAGAACAAAACCAAACAGATGGACTTGTAGCTGTCAGAAAGCTCTTATTCCTGACCCAATATGATCCTGAGCTATTAACAGATGGCCTTTACCAATCACTGCCTTGTAAAGATGGTTCCTTCATTATTAATATTTCTTCATCCTTGAGCTCCCATGGGAAATTGAAGAATGATAGAGCAGCACTGAGGAAAGTGTAGATAGAGAAGAGAAGAGAGCAAAGGGCTCAGAGTCAAGAACACTTGGGTTCACATATGACCTCCACATTTGCTAGCTGTCCATCCTGCCTGACTCTTGCCAATGACCTCCCATGATTTCACCTCATTGTGCTGGGAGCCTTCCTTGCTTCTTCTTGACATTTCAAGGTCCCCGATAGCGCCCCTGCTATCCTCAGTGGTTTCCCCTCACCCTTGCAGCATGAACAGCCCATCTTTTTGTTCATATGTTTCTTTTCTGGCACTCTTTCCTCTGCTACCACTTTGTAATTCCTTCTTTGTTCTATGTTGCAGCCAGTGACTGACTCTACGCCTAGCACTCTATTCATTGGACCATCTAGCCACTTTCTCATCCTTAGAAAAGTGGCTAGAGAGCCGATGTGAGTTCCAATTCTCAGATTTTTGTATAGTTGTGTGACCCTGGGAAAATCACTGAATTGAGCCTCAGTTTCCTTATCTGTAAAATGGGGGGATTGAACTTGATGGCTTCTAAGGTCCCTTCCAGCTCTAAGTCGATGATCCTGTGAATTTCTTGAGAAGCAGTTATTTGGTTAATGTGGAGACTCCTTTCACTGAAAAAAAAATGGGAATCCCCAGGCTTGGGGAGCCCAAGGTTTGGAGATATCATACAATATGCTGCCTTCACACAGCTAGCAAATGTGGAGGTCATATGTGAACCCAAGTGTTCTTGACTCTGAGCCCTTTGCTCTCTTCTCTTCTCTATCTACACTTCCCTCAGTGCTGCTCTATCATTCTTCAATTTCCCATGGGAGCTCAAGGATGAAGAAATATTAATAATGAAGGAACCATCTTTACAAGGCAGTGATTGGTAAAGCCCATCTGTTAATGGCTCAGGATCATATTGGGTCAGGAATAAGAGCTTTCTGACAGCTACAAGTCCATCTGTTTGGTTTTGTTCTGTTTTTCCCAGTTTGGACCAAGGTCTTCTGGCTGCCTATATTGGTATAACCTTGGCGATTAATTCTATAAGGTTTGAACTGACCACTAGACTAATCCCTGGAGTAGGGAGTTGGGAAACCCACTGAGGAATGCATAACTTGGGGCTCATTGGGAGATTGTGAGTAACCCGGCCCACTTTCCATCGTCCTGTGGTGGAACATGGCTCTCAATTACTCTTCTCTGGAGTATGGCCCTGCTGAGGCCTACATATCCACATTCCCCATGGACCTTGGGGCTACATTTTCCCCTATCTTTAATGTATGTTTCCAGATGAACTCCCTATCTCCTCCCTAGCATGCCCAACTTCACCCTCAGTAAAAGCTCTTTCTCTCCCCTTCTACACCCTCCTTCCATCCCACTCAGTTGTCCTCCTCTGCTCTCTACAGGTCCTCTCCTAGCCCTTCCTTTTCAGGGTGATGGAAGTCATGTTCACTTTTTAGCCTGTCCTCCTATATCCTTCACCTTTTCCAGGAACGCCTCAAATGTCTCCTTGTTTCAGTCCAATCCTTATTCTGCTCACTGGGCACCATTTCCCTTGAAATCATTTCAAGTGGTGCTCACACCTTCTCCTAGTCCTCCTGACTCATGGGCCAAGGAAAAGAGACGGTCACACTCCTCATTCTCTAAAACCATTTATACGACTCAGAGCTATAAATCACCAAGGCCACTATTTAAATATTGCCAACTCAGAATCACAGTGCTGGAAGGGTCTTCCTTATTTTACAGATAAGGAAACTAGAGACCCATCTGTCCCATGAGATTGAGGTAAGGCAGACCCATGATAAAAGTTACGGCACTATAGAAATATAAGTTATGAAGATTATAGTAATTTGTGTAACTGACCCTTCCAATCTACCCCACCACTGATACAGATGCGCCCCCTCTCTGCCAAAGTTTTCTCCTAAGGGGTAACCCTTTATGGACATTCTCTTCCCTGTCAATCTCATCCACTTGCAGTCTTCCAACTGTTGACATTATATAATTGACTCCTTAATTTATTTCTCCAATCCCGCCCTGAACCCCAGACCCAACTCCCTCCTTTATGATTGTCCAATTATGATTGCAATTCAATCCTAATATGTATGAAACCATCTTCATCAGGTTTTGTGACCCTAGGTAAATCTCATAAACTCTCTGAGCCTCAGTTTCCTTATTAGTAAAACAGAGATAACAATCCCTAAACTACCTACTTCACACTCTTGTGAGGAAAGGGCTTTATAAGACTGAAGGTACTATTTTCCCCCCTCTATATCTGGGACTCATTGGTGGAGGAAGCTGCTAATTTCCTGGACAGTTGGGAGATCAGGTGATCTCCCTGGGGTCACACAGCCAGTGTATGTGAATGGCAGTACTCGAACCCAGGTCTTCCTGGCTCCAAGCCCACCCTTTGAGACACTACCCTATGCTGCCTCTCAAAACCTTATGTAATAATAATGATACCTGATTAAACGGTAAGCTCCTCAGGGCAGGGAGCATCTCATCTTCATATCTGCATCTCCCACACCCCCTTATATGAGTATCAGGAAGCCCTCCATACGTGTCTTTGAATGAGCAGCTCTCTCCTTGAAGCCACTCACAGGGCTCAGAGAACCAAGAAGGAGGACTTAAGATACATTCCTTTGTCCAATGTGCCTCAATAATTTAATTCCACCATTAAACTGCTGTAAATTTTCTTTAGATTGATGGGAGTTTAGAACGTGTGAGTGGGTCCACATGTCAAATTTAGAACGAGAATAGAGTTTAAGGAGTCATTTAGAACAACCTCTCATAAGGAAGCTGAGCCCCAGAGAGAGAAGTAAGTAGCCTAAGGTCATGTGAACATTAGGCATGAACCCAGGTCTCTGACTCCAAATCCTGCGTTCCTGCCATACCACACGGGTAAATTGAGTGTTTGGGTTTTCTTTCTTTTGCTCTGTATTTGGTACAGACCCAACTTACCCTCTCCTCTGCTCTCTATTGCTCCATTTGAAAAAAGAAAATTTGATTTTGATTTTTTTTTAAAACAGAGCTGTGGTTTAGACCTCAAAGTAACTAGTGTCTAATTCTGTTGCCCATAAGGATAGGGAGTGGGCTTCTGATCTCATTACTCTAAGGAACTTCCTGGAAGAAGGTGAGCACTTTGTAATGTATAGTCTTGGAGAGTTCTTCAGAGCACTGAGAGGTTAAGTGATTTGTCCAGGGTCACACAGCCAGTTTGTTCCTGAGGGGCCCTTGAACCCAGATCTTCTTGGCTTCAAGGCCAGTTTGGTATCCACTATATCATCATTCAAGTACTTGCCGAGCTCACATAGATAGTACGCATCAGAGGCGGGATCTGAACCCAGGTCTCCTCTTGGTCTAAATCCTCTACAACTGATAGGGTACCAGACAGGTAACTGACATCGGGTCTACAATGGCCTCTGCACCACCCTGGATCTGGCCCCTGGAGCCATCTAGACAATGGCTAGTTCCATATCTACCTCCTGATCCTCCAAATACTAGAAGACGGCAAGCATGACCCACCTTCCTACCCACTGCATGCCACACCACATCCTCTTTAAAGCAAGTTTTCTTAGCACCTTCAAGAAATCCTCACATTACATGGATTTCAGGACCCTTGCCTACATAATTGTTCTAGTTTGCAAACACTTGGAGCATAATAACTAATCAGAAGATCTACCTAGAAAATGTCCTTGAATTATGAAAAAGTGGAGTGAGCATATCCTTCACTGAAGCACTTACGTACAAATGGATATGGAACATCTCGCAAAATTTAAACAGCAGAAAGACATCTGTTGTTCAGTCATTTCAGTCATGTCCAACTCTGTGGCCCCATTCGGGATTTTCTTAGCAGAGAGACTAGAGTAGTTTGTCATTTCCTTCTCCAGCTCATTTTGCAGATGTGGGAAATTGAGGCAAACGGGGCTAAGTGACTTAATAGAAAGTGTCTGAGGCCAGATTTGAACTCAGGAAGATGAGTCTTCCTGACTGCAGGACCAGTGCTCTGTGCACTATGGCGCCACCTAGCTGCCTCTAGATAAACATTAAGTGTCATATGTTGTTATGTATCACTCTATTTTTAATAGTTGTAGCCGTTGCAATAGTAGTAATTGTAGTAGTAAGCAGTTAGGTGGCTCAGTGGATAGAGGGCTGAATATGGAATCAGGAAAGTCTGAGTGCAAATTCTGCCTCAGAAACCTGCCAGCTCTATGACCCTGGACATGTAACTCAACCTCCGCTTTAGTTTCCTCATCAGTAAATGGAGATAATAATAGCACGTACCTCTCAGAGTTGTTAGAAGGACAAAATGAGATATTTTTAAGTGCTTGCCAAACCTTAAAGTACTAGCTAGCTAACTGTAGTAGTAGTAGTAGTAGTAGTAGTACTAGTAGTAGTAGTAGTAGCAGCAGCAGCAGCAGCAGCATGCCTGTGCTTCATTGTGAAGAGGAGGTAATTCCAAGTTGCTGAGAGCTCTGCCAGGAGACCAAAGCCTCAGGGAACCC